AGCAAAAGCCCTCGTGGTTTATCGAAGTTCTGGGCAATCGGCCGTAACACACATGACTTCCAGGTGGCCACCCGCAACCCTCGTGCTCTGTCAAAATGAAGGCAGGATGGGGATGAATAGGGGAAGGATTTGGGTAGATGAACATGATTGTGCAACGGCGGTAGCTGAGCCTGAGGGAAGACGCAATGAAGGGACGGATGGGGTGGAGACGAGCGTTAGTCAGCACAAGTACGGGACATACCTTTGAGAAGAAGGCTGGGGAGACTGAGATTATGCACCCTGGCCCATTGGCTGCTTTGCGTTCACTTCTGTTCACGTCTACACATCTGCTTGCTTCCCACTGCACTGATGAGGCACTTGGTGCTCGATGAAAACAAAGGCTTGCCGCTGACTGCAGAGACCTTGGTCAACGATTGATCAAATGCTGATTCATGAGCACGCCCCGCCTCCAACAACAATGCCGGAACTGCCTTGCAAATGATGTTCGCCAAATGTACTGATGCTAGTATTGAATAGCATGCCTTGGCATCGTCGTCTTCAGTGTGACCTATGCGACCACGCTTCAGGTGGTAACGAGATTTCGGCGGGAGCCATCAAACGACAACTGCAATGATTGTGATGGTGTCGATGCGAAAAATGCGCTCGCTACCAATCCCACTATCGATTTCACAATCGATCAATGTATACGTCTAGTTAGCAATACGACCACCCTTCGGGTGATACAAAAAGGTTGTGTGTGTGGGGGGGAACCATTGACGACAGCTGCGATAAGTGTGATGATGTCGATGCTGGAGATGCGTTCACTATCTATCTCACTATCCATCTCACAACCAATGAACCTCTCACTCGATCTATGCGGCAAACCTTCGGGTGATAAAGGGTAGTGTGTGGGGGGAACCAACTTACGACAAGTGCGATGATTGTAACGGTGTCGATGCTGGTGATGCGCTCGCGAGCTGGTGACGATGCGTGATGGCGACGCTGGCGGCGATGTATGATGGCGAGTGTGATGATGACGAATGGCGAAAATGTTGGTGATGAGCGGGGCATCGTCAACGGGCAGCACGCAGTAGTAGCAAAGCCTGGCGAATCGGCGGCAACAAAGCAAGCACCAACAGCACGACAAACCCGCGGGACACCATCGGAGCGCCATCGGGACACCAAGTGAGCAGCATCGGGGCACCATGTGGACACCATCGGGGAGCCATCTGGGCGACGTCATGAACATCTGTTTATCGATGCCTATTGGGCTCACCATCGGTCACTCTATCAATCGATCAGCCTCACTATCAATCAGTCTCTCGATCTATCTGACAATCGATCCCACTATCTATATGTCGATCTCACTATCCATCGGTCCCACTATCCATCGGTCTCACAGATTTCTCTACCGATCTCATGGGGCAACCATCGGCACACCATCGGCACACCATCGAGACACCATCGGGACACCATCGGGACACCATCGAAACAACATCGGGACACCAAGTGGACACCATCAGGACACCATTGGTACACCATGTGGACACCATCGGGACACTATCGTGGACACCATTGGGCCACCATCGTGACACCATCGTGACACCATCTGAATACCATCTGGACACAATCTGGACACCATCGGGACACCATCGGGACTTCACCGGGACACCATCAGAACACTATCGGGACACCATCGGAACACCATCGGGACACCATGTAGACACCGTCGAGACACCATCGGGACACCTTGGGACACCATTGGGACCCCATGTGGACACAATCGGAACACCATTCGGACACCATTGGGGCACCATCGGGACACCATCGGTACACCATCGGAACAACATCGGGACAACATCGAGACACCATCAGCACACTAATGGGACACCATCGGGACACCATCTGGACACTATCGGGACATCATCGGGGTACCATGTAGACACCATCGGAGCAACATCTGGACACCATCGGGACACCATCGGAACACCATCGGGACACAAGCGGGACAGCATCCTGACACCGTCGAGACAGCATCGGGACATCATGCGGACGCAATCGGGACACCCTGGGGCCACTGCTGGCCAACTGGGGAAGGGGAGCAACGTTTGGCCCGGCTTCGTTCTAGCAACGGCGAGTTTATTCCGTTCGCCCGCCCACACAGCTTCGCCTCGCCCGCCTGCACGCACGACACGAAACTGAAATAGATTTCCCCCTGGTGGGTCTTCGTTTCAATTCGATCTCACCCCTTAACCTCCGATCAGTCTCATTGTCCATCGGTCTCACTATCCATCTCACAATCGATCCCACTATCTCTCTATCAATCTCACTAACGATCGGTCTCACTATCCATCGATCCCACTACCTATTTTTCGATCGAGCTCACGAGACAACCATCGGGACAACCATCGGGGCACCATCGGGAATCCGTCGGGACACCATGTGGACACCATCGGGACATCATCGGAGCACCATCGGGACACCATCTGGACACCATCTGGACACCATCTGGACATCATCTGGACACCATCGGGACACCATCTGGACACCATCGGGACATCATCGGATCACCATCGGGACACCATTAAGACACCATCGAGACACAATCGGGAATTCATCGGAACACCATCGGGAAACTAGCGGGACACCATCTGGACACCATCGGGACTTCATCGGGACACCGTCTGGACACCATCTGGACACCATCGGGACTTCATCGGGACACCGTCGGGACACGTTCGGGACACCATCGGGACCCCATGTGGACACCATCGAGACACCATCGGGACACCGTCGAGACACCACCCTGGACACCAGCGGGACACCGTCGGCCAACTGGAGAAGGGAAGCGACAATTTGCACAATTTCGCCCTAGCAATGGCGAAATCATTCCGCTCGCCCGCCCACGTAGCTTCGCCTCGCCCGCCCGCTCGCAAGACACGAAACCGAAACCCATTTCACGGTTGGGGTCTCCGTTTCACTTCGATAACACCGCCCAGCCTCAGACACAAGCTGAAGCTGAAACCTTACGTCCAGTAGATACACACACCACAAGAAGCTCTGCTGTATACGAAATCTACTACGGTCGATCGCTTGACTTCCAAAGGTGTCCAACGTCTCTTGTGAGTCCCCGGGGCCACTGAAGGATAAGACACGTCCTTGGGGCACCTGCTGGTATGTTCGTTTCTTATTTGACGTGCCTAGTGTAATACCTTCTGTGGTCAGGCAATGGTGTCGGCAACGGGCTTTGCCGCTACTCACATAATGATGGCCACGAACTGGCATCCAAACGGGACTGCTGTGGTAGACCGACTGACTGTCTCTTCACCGCGCTTCAATCCGCGTCCCCCACCAACACTGAAATTGGCACGACCATTGGTCTCTCCACCTAATACTGCCATCCGTGCCCCTGTTGGAAACTGGCTCCAACTCATGAGAATTACAATGCCACTCCGTCCTGATGCCTTCTCCTGGCCGAAGGTGAATTCGATAGCTCTGCCCCCCCCAGGGGGCTCCCGTGTATAACCCATGAACAACAATTATCTAGCCGAACGTGGCTCAGGGAATCAGCTGTTCATATCCCATTCTTCCCCTTCGGGCAGTGCTTCCTCTGCGGACCCAACGACATTCTTATTCACAGATCGGAGACTCACAACATGTTTTCAATGGCCGCTGGCTGTGGCGGCGTTCTCGACACAATACGTCGCCGTGAAAGGAAGGGGCCCTAAGCCTGATGGAAGCGAGTCCTCGATCCGACCAACTTGTTCATCCCGAGTTGTTTTCTGACGGTCATGGGGCCCGTGGAGGGCCCCCACCCCCCCCAAAAAAATTACAAACACTCCCATGACCCCTTTTCTCCAGGACCCGTTTCCCCTCATGCTGAAGTTGAGGTGGGGCAGAGTGGAGGGGAGCAACGTCAAGGCCGACGACGACGACGACGACGAACGAATCAATGTTCGAAAAGGGAGGACGGCGCAACGCCAGGGACGACGACGACCTGTAAATGTCGCAGGGGGGGGGTCCACCTGGACACCTCCTCGGACCGCGACTCGGACGATCTCTGGGAAGACTGAGTGCGGGCCGCTTCGGTTGAAGATTTGCCTTCGAGCCGCCGACGACAACGACCTCCTCCTCCTCCTCCTTTTCCTCCTCCTCCTCCTCCTCCTCTCGGCTACACGCAAGGGTGACCCTAAGTAAAAGTGACCTTTGCTGCGCAGCTCGCTGGCCCCTGCATGCGACAATAACGGTCTGCGTGCTTGGGTGTGCCCCCCCCCCCTGCGCGCCCCGAAAGCCGCTTGCCAGAGGTCTCTCCTGCAAAGGGTCACTCCTACATCAGGCTTTCGGGTCACAACTCGGATCCCCGGTTGCCGTCCGGAGCGACTTCATGCGGGTACCCCCGAAAAGCTCTCGGCGAGGCGCAGTGGCTGGAACGCATGCCGAGGCAGGAAGGCTTCAAGAACCGACGACGACGTCCAAGAGCGCCCCCCAGAACCGGGACCGAACTGGGCCGAAGGCGTCCTTTCGGCACGGCTGGGGCCGGGGCGTAGGTGCCGCTCTCCTTGTTGTCGTGCGCGTAGCCGTTTACCGTCTTGCCAGTGAAGGGCCGCTCGGTGCCCGCCTGCGCTCCGGGCCCGAGATTGGCATGCCCAAAATGGAGACGGAAAGAATCGGGACGATGCGCAACATTGCGTGTTCGACCATGGACTCCTTTTTACCCATCGCCCCTAGGCCGGCTTCGGCGATCTTCGGCCGTCTTCGGACGGCCTTCGGCGGTCTTCGGCGGTCTTCGAACGGTCTTCGGACGGTTTCCGGCGGTTCTTGGCGGTTTCCAGCGGTCCTCGGCGCGAAAGCTGGATCGTTGTGCTAAACAGGGGGTCATGATCGGAAACCTAGCCAACAGCAAACGTTATCCAAAACCAAAAGAGGCCGCTGTTGGGCATGCGACTCTCGCCGCACATGGGCAATGCCAGCGGCGACGCCGACAGCGAATCCTGTTCAAACTGGGTAGGAAGCGCTGTCCTTTCTTTCCCAGGGCATCGCACTTCTAAGTGTGCACGGCGGTAAATTCCAGCCGCTGGCTCCTGAAAGAGAACGCGGCAGCGGGACTCTACCCCGCCGCCCTTCGACGGAGAAGGTTCATCGTTGCTGTTCGGCCAGGTCTGGCGGTTTCCAGCCCCTGGCTCTGGCTCCTGGACAGCAAGCGGCCGCGGGGCTCCACCCCGCGCCTTGAACCCAAGAGGTCCGCCGTTGCTGTTTCGCCAGGCCTGTGCCTACATATGGTCGACTTTTGTCGTCATGGTGTACGCCCTGGGCGGGGAGTGCTTGGCGGCGTCCAGCCCCATGGCCTCCGTCTGCTCGTCGATGCGCAGCTTGCAGGTCATTTTGAGCGCGAAGAAGGTGACGCCAGAGAGGGTGCCAGACCACAGGATGATCGCGAGAATCATAACGATGTGGGCGGCGAGCACATTGACAGTAGCGTAGTCGTCGCAGCTCCCTGTGTCTGGGTCGGCCGTGCAGTCGAAGCCGCTCCAGCCGTGGAAGTGCTTGAAGTCATCGCCCCAGTCGAAGAAGAACGCGGCAAGCACGCCCCAAATGCCGCAGGCGCCGTGGACTGGGACAGCGTCCACAGGGTCATCGATCTTGAGCGTCTGGAGCAACATGGAGCAACTCTGGTACACAAAACCGCCGACGAGCCCGATAAAGAGGGCACTGCTGGCCTCCACGTTGCCGCAGGGGGCCGTGATTGACACCAGGCCGGCCAGGATGCCGTTGCACAGGCCGCCCACGTCGTAGGTGTGCGTGAGCACGTACCGCAGGAAGAAGACGCCCATGCCGCCTGTCGCGGCGGAAATCGTCGTGTTCATGGCCACCTGGGCGGCAAGAAGGCCAGCGCCTTCGCTCATCCCCAGGGTGGAGCCGCAGTTGAAACCGTACCAACCGAACCATAGGATGAAGGTGCCCAGAACGACAAGCGGCAAGCTGTGAGCATCGAACTGATCGGGATTCTCGAAGCGGCCCTTGCGTGGCCCCAACACGACTGTGCCCGCGAGCCCGGCAACGCCGCCAGTAAGGTGCACGATGCCGCTGCCCGCAAAGTCGATGATCTGGGCGTCGAACAAGTTGCTGAGCCACCCGTAGCCCCAAGTCCACGCGACGACAACGGGGTAAATGAAAGACGCCATCACGAAGGCGAAGACAGCGTACGTGGGGCTCAGCACGCGCTCGGCCACAGCGCCGCTGACGATGGTCGCGCCGGCGGTGCAAAAGCCCACTGGAAGAACCAACTAAGAGCAACTCCATTCGACACGATGGCCCCCTCAGTTTCGTAGTTGTTGAAATCTTTGCCAGCAAAGCCGTCGGTACCAATGAAACCATTCCCTCCTGTCGCCACCTGGGGCGTGTGGTCATCAACGCCGTAAGCAAGGGCCCATCCGAACCAGTACCATCCGATCGTGCCCATGCACACATTGACGAGATTCTTCATCAGCACGTTCGACGCGTTCTTTGCCCTGCAGCTGCCACTCTCGAGCATGGAGAAGCCCGCGTGCATGAACATCACAAGCGCTCCACATAGGATCAGCCATGAGGACGTCATCGCGCTCTCCGTGCCAGCGAAGCGCTGTTCCGTGTCTGCCGCCAGCTGCTCCGCCTCCGCGCGCAGCTCCTCGCGGAGCTCCGCGACCTCCGGGCTGGCGCTCAGGCGCCGGGCCTCCAGGCCAGCGCGCAGCTCCTCGTGCAGCTCCGCGCGCAGCTCCTCGCGCAGCTCCTCGCGCAGCGCCGCGACCTCCGCGCGCAGCGCCTCGGGACCCGCCGCGGCTGCGCCCGCCGCGAGCCACATCGCCAGGAGGCACGTCCGCGCCGCCATCCCTGCGGCGCTGTAGCTCGAGGGCAAGTGAAAGCAGCTTGAGCCAAAATGGCTACGGAGGGGCAGGAAGTGCGCCTGGTCTCCGTGCGCATTGAGGGCCATGAGGTGACTGCGCGCGGAGGTGAGGGGGTCGTGTTGTATTTTGGTGGGCCGCAGGCTTGCGCGAGCGCATGCCTTGACTGGGATCAGAGGTGGCTCGCCCGTGCGCCGAAGAGTGCACGCGCAACTCGCCCACGGAGAGTTAACAATCTCAACGACGGACCTCCCGGGGCCGTCCAGCACCTGCGGCAAATTCTTGTCGTGACGACTTGCGAGTTGGTCTATGGCACCAGGTAGCTCACACTCAACCTTGTGTGATCGCGGCTTTCCAGTAGTGCAGGATTGTTCGATTCTGGCCGATTCTGGGCGGCCGGGCGGCTGGCGACACTCAACCTGGAACGCCCGGCGCTGGGGTCGCCGCAGCATCAACGCGGCGCGAACATGTCCTAGGTGCCTGGCATGAGAGACTCTGGTAGCGGGCGGTCCACACACTCCCTGGCTGCGACGTCTCCCTCTTGGGATCAGTATCTGATCGGCTCGGATCGGGAGGGGGCGGGGAGGGGGCAAGGGGTGAAGGATGGCATGAATATGGAAAAGGAGGGAGAGGAGGGTGTTCGGGGGATGCAAGCAGAGAGGGGTGAGGAGAAAGGAGCGAGGAGAAGGCAATGAGGAGCAACGATGCAAAACAGTACGCTGCTTCAGGGGTGGAAGGTCCAAGGCTGGCTGGGCATCATACGAGCAGCGGCCTCCGTGGACCCAGCGGCCAGCAGCGGGCCGCGGACTGCTCCGGCTTCGGGCGCGGTCTGCCCGGCTGGGGAAGGAAGAGAGGGAGGAGGAGGGGAGATGGGGATAAGGACGAGGCGGAAGCAGATAGCTGTCACAAAAGCATCTGGCATCCTGAAGAGAACGAGGAGAAGCAGGGGAACGAGGAGGAGGACGAGGAGAACGAGGAAAACGAGGAGAACGAGGAGGAGGAGGAGGAAATGAGGACGAGGAGGAGGAGAACCACACTATTCAGCTCAGGCCTTCATTCTTGGCGGGAGGCGGGCACGACACAGGGCCTCCTCCCTCGCGATCGGCGCGCCGTGGAGAGCCGTGGAGCTCGCAAGTTCTGCACTTCGCTCGCTCGGAGTGGAGGGTGAGGAAGAGGGAGGGGGGAGGAATGCGTGAAGACTACAGTCAACCCGTATAGTAAGGATGCGCGATAAGGATGCAAGGCCCTTGGAAGCCCATTCCGAAGTTTTCGAGCGGGGCGCGACCAACGAAAGTGGCCAAGGATGCACCGAGGAGGCAAGGATGCAAGGGTACCCTTGGGAAGGTTGCCCGTCCTTACTATGCGGGTTGACTGTAGGAAGGAGGATGATGGAGAGACGAACGACGAGGGGGAATCCAGGATGGGAAGAGCAGGATGATTTACGTCACGCTGACGCCACTGGCAGTACATCATGCAGAGCACCACTGCCGGGCCTGGGCAACTGCCCGGCAATGCTCGACATTACCCCTGGCACTTCCGGCGCGGAGCCAGTGGGCCACAAAGTGTGTTCATGGCTCGGCAGACACCACGTACGTATGGAAGCTTGTGGTTTGACTGCCTCCAGCTCATCGGTTTGACAGTGGTCGCGCTCTCTTTCATCGGTTCAGTCTCCGAACTACTGCTGGCACCGATGCCTCAGGCGAGCGGGCAAGCATGCAATCGGGATTGCGGGCGAGGGCTTATTCTCGCACACGCGAGCGCGTGTTGAAAGCCACCGCGCAAAAGACAGCGGCGTGTCTGGCGCCTTGAACAACACGTACTTCTGAAAGTCGGACAGCTCAGCCGCGGCCTTCTTGATATCCTCCTGGCGGCGGCGGCCTCGTTTGCCTCGTCTGCTGGCATGCAGACCTCCTGGGACACTGAACAGCAAAACAGATTCGCCACTGAATTATGCCAGCGGTATCCATGGCAAAAGGTGTCACCCGCTTTTCGCTCCATTGTGAGCCCCCGGGTAGCTCTAGGCCTCGTGGGGGTTCCTCTGGAGGCAGGCGGATTTTCCACGAACAATGAAACTAGCCAACGATATGCACAAATCAGCAAACAAACAAAAAAACATCACCCCCAGACTATTTGTTCACTATGTCTGAATATTCCTCCTGTAAAGGACATGCCCGACTTAACAGTAGCACCACCCGGACCACTGGTGTCGCAAAACGAGCAACGCACAAACACGAGTTTTTCCCCACATGCTTCGTGGGGTTCTGGTTTTCTTCCCTGCCGCGCCGCACCCGCGACACACCCGCGACACTCACCTCACTCTTTCCCCTCCTCCTCCTCACAGCACTGCTCAGCACAGCTCAGCTCAGCTCAGCACGGTACGGCTGAGCACAGCTCAGCTCAGCTCACCTCAGCTCACCTCAGCATAGCACAGCACAGCACAGCTCACCGCAGCACGGCACAGCACAGCACAGCTCACCGCACAGCAGCACAGCACAGCACAGCATAGCACAAAGGGCTGGCGCGCAGGGCACGGCACGGCAGAGCGTAGCAGGGGTGGCACTTTCTCGACACCAGAGAAGGTGCGCAGAGGGTGGTCCCTCAGCGCGGTCTCTATGCGTGCCAGGGTCGGAGAGCGTGGCAGGGGTAGCATTGTCTCGACACCAGAGAGGGTGCGCAGGGGGTGGTCCCTCAGCGCGGCCCCTATGCGTGCCAGGGTCGGAGAACGTGGCAGGGGTGGCACTTTCCCGACACCACAGAGGATGCGCAGGGGGTGCTCCCTCAGCGCGGTCCCTGTGCGTGCCAGGGTCGGAGAGCGTGGCAGGGGTGGCACTTTCCCGACACCAGAGAGGGTGCGCAAGGGGTGGTCCCTCAGCGCGGTCTCTATGCGTGCCAGGGTCGGAGAGCGTAGCAGGGGTGGCACTTTCCCGACACAAGAGAGGGTGCGCAGGGGGTGGTCCCTCAGCGCGGTCTCTGTGCGTGCCAGGGTCGGAGAGCGTGGCAAGGGTGGCACTTTCTCGACACCAGAGAGGGTGCGCAGGGGGTGGTCCCTTAGCGCGGTCTCTATGCGTGCCAGGGTCGGAGAGCGTGGCAGGGGTGGCACCTTCTCGACACCAGGGAGGGTGCGCAGAGGGTGGTCCCTCAGCGCGGTCCCTATGCCTGCCAGGGTCGGAGAGTGTAGCAGGGGTGGCACTTTCTCGACACCAGGAAGGGTGCGCAGGGGGTGGTCCCTCAGCGCGGTCTCTATGCGTGCCAGGATCGGGGAGCGTGGCAAAGGTGGCATTTGGTCGACACCAGAGAGGGTGCGCATGGGGTGGTCCCTCAGCGCGGTCCCTATGCGTGCCAGGGTCGGGGAGCGTGGCAGGGGTGGCACTTTCTCGGCACCAGAGAGGATGCGCAAGGGGTGGTCCCTCAGCGCGGTCTCTATGCGTGCCAGGGTCGGAGAGCGTGGCAGGGGTGGCACTTTCTCAACACCAGAGAGGGTGTGCAGGGGGTGGCCCCTCAGCGCGGTCTCTATGCGTGCCAGGGTCGGGGCGCGTGGCAGGGGTGGCACTTTCTCGACACCAGAGAGGGTGCGCAGGGGGTGGTCCCGCAGCGCGGTCTCTATGCGTGCCAAGGTCGGAGAGCGTGGCAGGGGTGACACTTTTGCCGACACCAGAGAGGGTGCGCAAGGGGTGCTCCCTCAGCGCGGTCTCTGTGCGTGCCAGGGCCGAGAGCGTGGCAGAGGTGGCACTTTCTCGACACCAGAGAGGGTGCGCAGGGGGTGGTCCCTTAGCGCGGTCTCTATGCTTGCCAGGGTCGGAGAGCATGGCAGGGGTGGCACTTTCCCGACACCAGAGAGGGTGCGCAGGGGGTGGTCCCTCAGCGCGGTCTCTGTGCGTGCCAGGGTCGGGGAGCGTGGCAGGAGTGGCATTTTCTCGACACCAGAGAGGCTTCGCAGGGGTTGGTCCCTCAGCGCGGTCTCTATGCGAGCCAGGGTCGGAGAGCGTGGCAGGGGTGGCACCTTCTTGACACCAGAGAGGGTGCGCGGGGGGTGCTCCCTCAGCACTGTCTCTATGCGTGCCAGGGTCGGAGAGCGTGGCAGGGGTGGCACTCTCTCGACACCAGAGAGGGTGCGCGGGGGGTGGTCCCTCAGCGCGGTCTCTGTGCGTGCCAGGGTCGAGAGCGTGGCAGGGGTGGCACTTTCTCGACACCAGAGAGGGTGCGCAGGGGGTGGTCCCTTAGCGCGGTCTCTATGCTTGCCAGGGTCGGAGAGCGTGGCAGGGGTGGCACTTTCCCGACACCAGAGAGGGTGCGCAGGGGGTGGTCCCTCAGCGCGGTCTCTGTGCGTGCCAGGGTCGGGGAGCGTGGCAGGGGTGGCATTTTCTCGACACCAGGGAGGGGTCGCAGGGGGTGGTCCCTCAGCGCGGTCTCTATGCGAGCCAGGGTCGGCGAGCGTGGCAGGGGTGGCACCTTCTTGACACCAGAGAGGGTGCGCGGGGGGCTCCCTCAGCACGGTCTCTATGCGTGCCAGGGTCGGAGAGCGTGGCAGGGGTGGCACTTTCTCGGCACCAGAGAGGGTGCGCAGGGGGTGGTCCCTCAGCGCGGTCTCTATGCGTGCCAGGGTCGGAGAGCGTGGCAGGGTGGCACTTTCTCGACACCAGAGAGGGTGCGCAGGGGGTGGTCACTCAGCGCGGTCCCTATGCGTGCCAGGGTCGGAGAGCGTGGCAGTGGTGGCACTTTCCCGACACCAGAGAGGGTGCGCAAGGGGTGGTCCCTCAGCGCTGCTCTATGCGTGCCAGGGTCGGGGAGCGTGGCAGGGGTGGCACTTTCCCAACACCAGAGAGGGTGCGCAGGGAGTGGTCCCTCAGCGCGGTCTCTATGCGTGCCAGGGTCGGAGAGCGTGGCAGAGGTGGCATTTTCTCGCCACCAGAAAGGGTGCGCAGGGGGTGCTCCCTCAGCGCGGTCCCTATGCGTGCCAGGGTCGGAGAGCGTGGCAGGTATGGCACATTTGACACCAGAGAGGGTGCGCAAGGGGTGCTCCCTCAGCGCGGTCTCTATGCGTGCCAGGGTCGGAGAGCGTAGCAGGGGTGGCACTTTCTCGACACCAGAGGGGGTGCGCAGGGGGTGGCCCCTCAGTTGGTTCGTGTGGTTAGTCCGGCTGATTCTGGCTGCGGTTGTTGGCATGACTAATATGGTTGGTCTGGCTGGTCTGCTTGATTGGCCTGGCTGGCTGGTCTGATTAATTTGGCTGGTTATGGCTGGAACGAATGATCTGGCTGGTCTGGTCAGTCTGGCTGGTCTGGCTGATCTGGCTAGTCTGGTCAGTCTCTCGTCAGGATGGCGAACCGAGATGTGACATGGTTTGTGAGCACACGTGGCATTGAATAAGTATGTGGGGTTCCTCGGTAGCGTAATTGCAACGCCGTGGGACTGCCACATTCCACAGTTCAGCTTCACGCAGGAGTGACCATAGGTAAGAGTGGCCTTTGGCGCGTGGCTTCTGGGGGTCACAGGGGACCCAAGCCAGGGACGCTGGCCAATGCTGGGGGGAACCCTGTGGGCCCGCATCAGAAGTCAACCTGGCGAAGGGTCATTCTTACGCGTAGCCGAAAAGACGACTGTGGGGGCAAAACCAAAACCTCCGCGCACCTGTGTCAAGGCCCCAGCCGACTTGGCACTCATGGGGGACCATAAGGATGCGAAGTCTGTGCAAGGAACCCCCTTCGCACGGGAGGTTGGTTGTCTCTGCCAAAACAAAAGCTGCACTTGACACATGGCGTCGTCTTCGATTTAGAGGCTGCCTGGCCCCCTTGGCTCGATGAGGAGGGAGGATGGGGATGCAAGGGTATCTAACGAAGAGCGCAAACATGTCCATAGATCCCCGCGCATCCCTCAGCGGGATGTCTCCTCCCCCCCTCCTCCTCTTCCTCTTCCTCCTCCTCCTCGCTTTATCTGCTCCTTCCGATGCGCAGTTCAAGACGCCGTCTAGTGTATGTTGCTACAACGCGCTTCGGGGACTCTTAGCCCACCTCATCAAGCGTGAGCCCAAATCGCTGTCGCGAGGTGCACGCACACTATATACGCGTGCGCTGCGAAGCGAAACACGAATGCGACTGCTGCAACACATGTCCGACTCCAGAAGCCCGTGAGCTAATCGCTTTCATTCCGCCAGCCGTACGCCAACTTTCATTGGCCGAGCCATCCCCGCCGCCTTCCGACAGCCTTCCGCCGAGGAAGAGATACCAACCTCTCGATCCCCCGAACGAGCCATTTCGAAAACGCCCCAGCATCGGCGCCAACGAATCAGCCCAGAACCCAAAAGATATTTTAGTTCTTTCTCCAATGTGGACCCCAGGAGGTCTGGACCCCTTTCTCAGGGCATTTGTTTGTCTGACTGTTTGTTTGTGTCATGTCCTGAATCATGTTTGGGCAGGCCTGGGGTCTGGTGAGGGCCCCGTGGAGCTCGAAAACGCAGAAACACCTCAATATTGACGCTCGTTGTCTGCAATCCTCCTGTGAGATCTGACGCTGCTTAAATAAATCATCATCGCGAAGGAAACACGACCGGAGCCCCAGACCCATATCTGTCTCTGCGGAGTTTCTCGAACCAGATCGTTCTTCTCTGAGGGTCCTGGGGCCAGAAATTCGGAGGCGGCCAGGGGGGCTGAACTGGTCGGGACTCCAGAAAATCGGTCAGGAGGGGGGATGAGACCCAATCCGCCGAAAATCTGTCCCCGGACTCCTGCTGGGTCCATTCGGTGCAAATTTTCACCCCAGATCCGCTTTTGACGGCCCCGAGGCCCGAAAACGACCCCCGGGAACGGAAAAGGCAAGAAAACGGACCGAACCCAGAACCTCGAACCTGCCCGCCCGTCCTGCTGGCCGAACCCAATGCTGGACAACCTCAGACCCCCCAGACTGTTCCGACCCGACATCGTGTGGAAACACCCAGAGCCCAGACCCCCGACGTCATGATTTGTTCATTACGTCGACCCCCGAGGTCTGGTCCCTTTCCCCGGACCAGTTTTTCGTCCTGAGTCGTCTTTGGACGGTCCCGAGGGCCGGTTGTGATTGTTTCATTGCCCGAGGGGGTCTAGGAGTGCAGAAGTTGGGGCCCCAGGGTTCCAGGGTCCGTCTTGACGTCGGAGGCCTGCACTCCTCCCCTGGGCGCAGGCGGCTCGGACACCCGTCGGCCGGGCGGTCCGGGCTCATCGAGCCCTCGCCGTAGCCCCCCGGCGCGGCGGCGGCGCCGGCGCACCCTGCCTGGCCCGCTCGCGCCCCTGCGCCGCCCCTGCTCCCAGGAGGCGCCCAGCCCAGAAATCCGAAGGGCGGTCTCTTCCACCGCGGCGTTTTTTTCCCTCATTTTGGCCTCCCCTGTGATTCCGGCGTCGCACTCTATTTGATTGCGATCAGCAAGTCGGGCGTTGCTAGAAGTGCCCCTGGCCCAAAGTGCCCCCAGGATTTCCAAGGAGGCCCCCACAGCCTCCAGAGCACCCTTTTACGAGGCCCACAAGGCCCCAGGAACTGCAACAAATTGAGCGAAAAGCAGGGGGGCAACTTGGCTAGGGGTACCTCTAGATATCGACTCCCGAACAGTGTCTTTACGCCGCAATGCGGCAGAATCAGTCCGCACGCGCGGTCGGCAGGCCGGGAGACGGCGATGCGAATTAACCCAAATGCAAAAGCAAGAAAGGAAAAGGCGGCCGCGGAGGGGGAGGAAGGGGAGACACCACGTTCACGCAGCGGGGACCGCCGGAGGGCTCCTGGGGGGGGCGGCCGAGCTGGTGCCGTAACCCTGGCAGCGGGGGCGGGGCGGCGTCGCGGCCACATCCACGGGCTGGGGCAGCGGCTGCAGTGCACGTGCCAGGGACGGCAAATGCGGGAGAAACGAAGAGCGTCGCAGACAACCCGGGGCGTAAACGACCCAGGTGGGGCTGCGGCCGCAGGCTGCGCAAGAGGGGCTGTGCGGCGGCCGGGGAGGGGGGGGGGGCAAGCCAGGTCCGCTGGCTATGTGGCGCAGCAGGAGGCAGACGCGTCCGCAGCGCTAACCGAGGAGTGTACGGAGGTCAGGAGCCCAGGGCGCCGCAACCGTCGAACGAACGATTTCGCACAATTCTGGCCCTCGCACAACGATCGGGCTCGAGAATTTGGCGCAGAGAGATGGAACCCGGGGCTCTGGTAACGATTTCTCGCCATGCTGTATTTTTTTTGCCTCGTCGGGTCTCAGCGTCTGGGGTCCCGTGTTTGGGCCCTGGGACAATCCCGCATACATTTGGAACGGAATTCTTCCCCAAGGGCATGGGTCGGGGCCTCTGGAGCCGCGGATTTTATTTTAGAACATCCAATGTTCGGCAGCAAGTTCTGGAAGCCCGAGTGGTGTAGATTTCCGCAGGCTCTTCGAGCCACGAAGTGCGCTCCAGCAATTGCGCCCTGCCCGGGGGCGTTCTGGGCCATGGGGTGCCGGAGTCGTCCCGAGCAAAAAGCTGAGAAAACGGGTGTTGGAGGAGGACGACAGGATGAGGATGAGGATGAGGATGAAGATGAGGACGAGGAGGATGCTGGTGATGCTGGCGATGATGAAGATGACGATGATGAGTTTGCCTCGACGTTAGGGCCAACTTCAAATCAATGGCGCACACGAGTGAGGAGGCTTCGCAGGGTCCGTCGCAGAGAGCCTCGGGTCTCGCACTGCCCCGCATTAGGGCCTGTCGTCTAGGGTGCTTCGCAGGGGGGGTTCCTGCGCAGCGCGTGCCTAGCAACATCGGGATCCAACGTCAACTGACCATTTTTTGGAACAAAAAAATGCTGCTTCGTTTTCGGCGGCTGTATCGGCTGTGTCAAGAGCGGACGAAGCCTCCACCTCGTGAGATTACTCTGCGTGCGCTGGCACGGTAGGATGAAGAGGTGGAGGCGCAGGAGGAGGGGTGATGCAAGAAACTGATAGCGCGCTGCTGCTAGCCGGGAGGCCTTCGCCTCGTACGAAAATCACGTTGCGGCGGGAGTGCCTGGTATCATCTCTGCGAGTCACTGCTCTGGCCTGGCTGGTATCATCTTGTCGAATCACTGCTCGCACCTGGCTGGTATCACCTGGTTGAATCAGTGCTCGAACGTCGCCAGCCACTGGCCCACCTCCTCCTCTAGCCCGCCCGCTGGCGCCAAGCCCTTGTGGTGGGTCAACAGGCCCTCTGAAACCACAACGCGGGTTATCAAGCTGCGGCCCTCCCACATCGGCGCGCCGATGACCAGTTTCGTCTTGTCCTTGTCGCACGAGCTCTCGAGGCGGATGAACGAGATGACCTCGAGGAGGTCGTCTTTGCTAATATCCACCTCGATGGTGATGATGATGATGATGACGAGGAGGAGGAATAGGAGGAGGAGGAGGAGGAAGAGGAGGAGGAGGAGGATTAATTGGAGGAGGAGGAGGAGGATAATGACGAGGAGGACGAAGAGATGGAAGAGGAAGGGGAGGAGGAGGAAAAGGAGGGTGAGGAGGAGGAGGGGGAGGAGGAGGAGGAGGAGGAGGAGGAGGAGGAGGAGGAACAGGAGGAGCACGAGGAGGAGCAGGAGGAAAAAGGAGGAGGAGGAACAGGAGGAGGAGATGGAGGAGGAGGACGAGGAGGAGGAGATGGAGGAGGAGGAGCAGGAGGAGGAGCAAAAGGACCAGTGTAAACCCAAGGCCCATAAACGCTCCCTCCTAGTTCCCTCTTCATAAACTCCTAAACGGGTTCTTTTTCACTGAAGGAATTGCCCCATTGGAGGAAATTCGTTTGAACAACTGGAAATGTGCCAGAACACCATTCCTAAGACTTCGACGCAACGAATCAACGCGACTGTTGCGACTTGACGATCCTGAACCGTGTCAAAGCACCACTCCTGGGACTTCAACACCGCGAATAAAAATTGTTGTTGCGCCCTGACACCCCGACATCATGCCAACACACCACTTCTGGGGCGCAGACTATGACAATCCCTGAAACCTTTGCAAACTCGTAAGACGAATGTACACGGCGCTAGATCGAGAACCACATTCTGAAAACGGACCGTCCTCCATCCATGACGCTCTCTTGCAACCGCTTAAAAAAGAATGTGCGCGGTGCTGATGCGAGAACCACATCTTGAAAACGGACCGCCCTCCGTCCATGAAACTCTTGCAAATGTTTAAAGCGAATGCGCGCGGTGCTGAAGCGAACGCCACATTTTGAAAACGGACCGCCTTCCATCCGTGAGACTCTTTCAAACTGGCGAAACGTGTGCACAACGCTGAGGCGAGAACCACATGTTGAAAGCGGACCGCCCCCCATCCGTGAAGCACTTGCACATTTCAAACTTCAAGATCACACATGCTGAAAAATATCAAGCGAGACGCCCTACCTGCTGTTCGACTGGCCTCGGGGCGCAACAGGAGGGAATTATTCATCAGAGTGAAGCGGCTGAACAGAACGGTCATTCATTGTCCCTGGGTGCGTGGCAAAAGTGGAATTCCGCGATGCGGATTATTGTTGTTGTTGTTATTATTGTTGTTGGTGGTGTTGTTGTTGTCGTTGTTGTTGTGTTTATTCTTCTTTGTTGTTGTCGTCGTCCCGCCCGCGACCCGCCCCGCGACCCACCCGCGACCCACCCCGCGACCCACTCGCGACCCACCCGCGACCCACCCCGCGACCCACCCGCGACCCACCCCGCGACCCACCCGCGACCCACCCGCGACCCACCCGCGACCCACCCCGCGACCCGCCCGCGACCCACCCCGAGACACCCCCGGCGACCCACCCGCGTCCCACGACCTACCCGCGACCCACCCCGCGACCCACACGCGAACCACCCGCGACTCACCCGCGACCCACCGCGACCCACCCGCGACCCACCCGCGAACCCACCCCGCGACCCACTCAAAATGTTCAGCGCATGCGGCGTTGTTTTTTTTTTTTTTTTTTTTTTTTTTTTTAAAAAAAAAAACAAAAAAAAACAATTATTATTATATATATATATATATATATATATTCGTTCCAGATGAAGAACCTGCGACCCACCCGCGACCGAAACCACGCCCGCGACCCACCCACCCACCGCGACCCCCCGCGACCCACCCGCGACCCACCCCGCGACACACCCAAAATTTTCGGCGCCTGCGGCGGGCTTCTTTTGCATTCGTTCCGGGTGGCCCACCAGCGATCCCCCCCGCGTTGAACTTGTCAGAGCACGCAAATTGGCGCCTGCGGCGGGCTTGCTCGCATTGGTTTGGGAAAGCGCCCTCGTGCCATTCCCCCGATCCAGCCCACATTGACTCTACAACAGCACATCGGCGCCTGCGGCGGGGCTGTGTCTAAACACGTTCATTGGCAATCCAGCTGCCTGTTGCAATTCGGCATCCGTGCCCAAAGCCTGGGTCCAGGGGAAGCTGCCTCAAGGCGCCCACAATTAAGGGGCCTCGGGGCGCTCAAGGACCCGCCTGAGGGGGGCGTCCACGAACCCTACCACACAGCACGCCAGTGCCGCACAAGCGCGGCGGCGGAGTTTGCATGCCGTCTGAGCCCCCCCAGACCTCTTCCAGCTCCGCTCATCCACACCAATCCATCCAGCAACTTTACCCTGGCGAGTTGCCTGGATCAGAGAAGTCGCGGAGCATTCAGTGGAACAAAGGATTGGTTTGCCGATCTCTTGAGAAAGAAGGGCGAGGCAGAGGAGTAAACAGGGGACGACGAGGACGCGGAAGAAGAGAGGATGTAATGATAATGTGGAGAAAGAGGAGGAGGAGGAGGAGGAGGAGGAGGAGGAGGAGGAGGAGGAAAAGGAGGAAGTGGAGGGGGAGGAGGTGGAGGAGGAGGAGGCTGACGATGACGAGACGACGACGACGATGAGGACGAGGACGCGGACGAGGAAGAGGAGGAGGAGGAGGAGGAGGAGGAGGAGGAGGAGCAGGAGGAGGAGGAGGAGGAGGAGGGCGCCATCGACAGGGAAGGTGAGGCCCACGAGGTCCGCCGCCTCGACACCCGGGTCGCCCGCGCCCGCCCCCTCACTCTTGTCCGCAATTGCGGGGTGCTACGTAGGGAAATGGAATGAGGAGGGTGAGGGTGAGGGTGAGGAGGAGCAGGAGGAGGAGGAGGAGGAGGAGAAGTAGGAGGAAGAGGAGGAGGAGGGGGAGAAGGAGGAAGAGGAGGAGGGGGAAGAGGAGGAGCAGGATCAAGGGAAGCTCTATGAACTGCTTTGGCGAGACCACTTGCAGTTTCGACAACATGCTGGGGGGGGGAACAGACTCATGCAGAAACAATTCGGCGATCGCCTTTTCGCTGGGCCTGAACGACGAGCTTGCTATCTCTTCGAGGTGTCTCACGTGCGGCGTCATTGTGTCTGTTACTTGCCGCGTGTACCCTGGAGTCGATCTCTGAAAGCTCGAACCCCGCAAATGCTGACGTCCAACTCTTGCTCCTGCCGCCCTCCGCCTACCTTCTGCCGGCTTTCCGCCGCCGCCGCCGAGTCACTTCTGCTGACGAGACGTCGGACTCGAGTTGTGCGGACTCGGACTTGTTGCCTGATGGGGCCATCAAAGCAATGATGGAACCGACTCTGACATTTGACACGAACTCCCGCTACGAACATCCTACGAACACTGTACCGCCCAAACTCTCGCTGGGACCCCACAAACGAGGCAAGGCGGACCCGAGTCGCAGCAAACTCGAGTCGTACATTTCACAGATTGTGGAACGCGACTTTTAGTATAGTAAAACAGCATGGACGCTCGGGAGGTCCGTTCGGATTTCTCGGGTCGGTGCTGGATGCCCCCAGCTGCGACTCCGGCGCAGCCCGATGGCGTCGCATGCCAAAGGAAAGAGTCCAGCGACGACCCAAGAAATCCGAACCGATCTCCGACATTTGCCTCGCAAGTCGATGTACACCAGGCACATACGATAATAGATCTCGCTGCAAGTAAATGCGAGGGTCTAGGGGGGCGCACCCTATGCAGGTTCTGGGTTTCGCAAGGTGCCCCAGGGTTCCGCGGGCCCATCGGGAGATCAAACACCATCCTGGGGCTCCGGCTGTTGGCGGTGCGCCCAAGAGTTTGGCGCGACGGGGGGCGCCTTCCGAGAAGGCCTGGGGCTTCGATAGAAGGCAAGTGGCTTCTCAAAAAATCCCAGATGTTCTAAACCACGCCCTTCGAAGCCGGAAAGCTTCTAAGCAGCCGCCCGCCGTCTGAAAAACCACCCCACCTCCTTGTAGGCCGCCCCCCTCGCGCCACCCCGTTGCGGCGCGCCGGCACCGTGTGGCGACTTCGGAGTCCCCGACGACCTCACCGCACGGCCCGTTGCCGCATGGCCTTGGGGCCCTGGCGGCCGCGGTTGCCCGGGACACCCCCAGAGGAAAACGACCCAGGTCCCACAAGCCAGGCGGCCGCCCCGAATCCCACGCCTCCCAGATGGGGTCGGAGCGGATGGGGTCGGAGGATGGGGCCGCATCGCCAATGCATCAAAGATGCATCGGCGATGCATCGGCGATGCATCGGTGATGCGCCGGTGATGCATCGGCGATGCAGCGGCGACGTCCGCGTGGAGAAATTCGCGCCCCACATTGAGCTGTAATCATCTTGGCGGCAAGCGAGGGGGGAAGTGAGGGAAGTGACAAGGGGCGGGCCTGTTCAGAAGGCTCAGACGTACCCCGGCCTTCTGAGAAATTGTCTGAGTCTTCCCCGAAGACACAGAAAACCTCTCAGAAGGCGGAGGGTTTCTGAGAAACCCCGCGCAGCCTTCTGAGAAGGTCTTCTCCTTCTCATTTCCCCCCCCCTCTCGCCGCCGAGCATCACCGCTGCATCGGCGCAAAGGCGCGATCCTCCGATCCCATCTATCGGGACCCCCCCCGGTGTCTGGCGGGCCCCCCGCCGCTCCCCGGCGCCAACAGGGCCAGCGCCGCCGACGCGAGCGTCACGGGGGCGCGCCGTGGCAGCGCCTGGCGCCCCTGGTCTGCCCCTGGGGCGGCGCTGGGACTCGGCACCTCGCAGGCCCACCGCGGGTGGCGGAGGAGGAGGAGGCGGAGGTTCACTGCCCATAGAGGGGAGGAGTCAAGGGGGAAAGAGGGGAGAAGAAGGACTCGCTAGGGTAGGTCAACATCAACCTGCCCCAGAAGGGCTGCTCAGAGGACTCCATGGCTCTGGCTTCCTGAACAATCTCACCTTCTATCGTCTGGCTGGCTGCGCATGGCTTCTATCTCAGGGATATGACGCAACCGCTGTCGGTGCAAGAGGGAACCTGGCTGGCCGCAATATGGGCATGTGCCGCCTGACTCACATCCCGAGGCCTGGACGCTTCCTGCCGTCCAAACTCCTTGGGAAGCACATGCGGGGATCCAGTATTTAACTCGTGGTGCGTTTCGCTTCGAACGGAGGAGGGCACGAAGGGGATCGACCGACACGCGCTCACCGACGAAGGAAGGGGTCGACACCGCGAGTTTCCTATAGCTTTCTCTCATGGGATCTCTGAACCCCTCCCTGCAGTAGGTTGGACACCATGGCAGGAGAGGTGTACAGTAAATCAACTAGGCGTCCTAGGTCATCTTGCCAGAGGTGGGGACTTAAAGCCTTCCAGCCTATGCGGTGCAAACTCAAATCATACGATGGCCAGGGCCTCTGGAGTACTTCCATTGCAGGGGTCACAGATTCAACTGCTGAGCCTCCAATGCCCTCTAGATCCTGACGTGGTCCCTGAAGATGAGGGGCTGGTGGTCGGAGTCGTCAGGCTTCACCAACAACTCGATGCCCACTGCCTAGCGGGAGCGGTCGCCTGAAGCCAGGCTGGGTCGTCATGGAAGCAAATCTTGGCCGTGAGGGAGACTCCTCGATGCGCTGGCGTATATCCTGCTAAGAGCATCCTCATGATTTCAAGCAGCTCCTGATCGGACATCCCCAGGACCATGGAACCATCTCATCAAATATCTGGCTTGAGTCCCGAGACGTAGATCTTGTTCATCCGCGATCGGTCCCTGGGAAGCTGCTTCCGAACAACAGCTTGACAAAACCATGTCGTTTTCTCATCGCCTTAAATATTTCCTTACGCTTTGCCCGACCTTGTTTTGCTGCCCGATGTTGTCCTCGCGCCAGGTCGCAGCCCAGGGAACGACGAAGTTGCAAGCAACAGACGGAGACGCATGCGAATACAGCCACTGGGGCCTTCGGTGGAGCTCCCTATGTGGCCACGAAGCGCTGTACTGGGTGGCGCGGACGCATGCGGACCCTGCCACTGGAGCCTTCGGTGGAGCTCCCCATGGGGCCACGAAACGCTGTCCTGCGTGGGGGAGACGCATGCGAACACCCCGATTCTGGCCTTCGGTGGGGCTCCCTATGGGGCCACGAAACGCTGTCTTGGGCGGGGGGGACGACGCATGCAAACACCCTCAGTGGGGCCTTCGGTGGACCTCCCTATGGCGCCACGAAACGCTGTCCTGGGCGGGGGAGACGCATGCGAACACCCCCACAGGGACTTTCGGTGGAGCTCCCTATGGGGCCACGAAACGCTGTCCTGGGTGGGGGACACGCATGGGAACACCCCGATTGAAGCCTTCGGTGAAGCTCCCTGGGGCCGCGTAATACTGTCCTGTGCGGGGGAGACGCATGCGAACACTCCTACTGGGGCCTTCGGTGAAGCTCACCATGGGACCACGCAGCGCTGTCCTGGGCGGGAGAGACGCGTGCGAACACCCCCGGTGTGGCCTTCGGTGGAGCTCCCTATGGGGCCACGAAACGCTGTCCTGGGTGGGGGAGGACACGCATGCGAACACCCCGATTGGGGCCTTCGGTGGGGCTCCCTATGGGGCCACACAACGCTGTCCTGGGTGGGGGAGTCGCATGCGAGCACCCTCAGTGGGGCCTTCGGTGGAGCTCCCTATGGGGCCACGAAGCGCTGTCCTGGGTGGGGGACACGCATGCGAACACCCCGATTGGGGCCTTCGGTGGGGCTCACCATGGGACCACGCAGCGCTGTCCTGGGTGGGGGAGACGCATGCGAACACCCCCAGTGGTGCCTTCGGTGGAGCTCCCGATGGGGCCACGAGGCGCTGTCCTGGGTGGGGGAACCGCATGCGAACACTCCGATTGAGGCCTTCGGTGGAGCTCCCTGTGGGGCCACACAACGCTGTCCTGGGTGGGGGAGACGCATACGAACACCCCCAGTGGGGCCTTCGGTGGAGCTCCCTGTGGGGCCGCAAAACGGTGTCCTGGGTGGGGGGAGACGCATTCGAACACCCCCAGTGGGGCCTTCGGTGGAGCTCCCTATGTGGCCACGAAGCGCTGTCCTGGGTGGGGGAGACGCATGCGAACACCGCCGCTGGGCCTTCGGTGGAGCTCCCTATGTGGCCACGAAGCGCTGTCCTGGGTGGGGGAGACGCATGCGAACGCCGCCGCTGGGCCTTCGGTGGAGCTCCCTATGTGGCCACGAAGCGCTGTCCTGCGTGGGGGAGACGCATGCGAACACCGCCTCTGTGGCCTTAGGTGGGGCTCCCTGTGGGGCCACGAAACGTGTGAGGGGTGTGACGACATGGGCGGTGGGGACGATGATGGTGATGATGATGAAGAGGATGTGGATGAGGATGATGCTGCAGATGATGATGCTGATGGATGATGGGTGACGGTGATGATGGTGACGATGGTGTAAGGAGAGGGCGGGGATGATGATGCTGATGATGCTGATGATGATGCTGCTGATGCTGATGCTGATGCTGATGCTGATGATGATGAGGATGAGGATGAATGAAGATAATGATGATGATGCTGATGATGATGATGATGATGATGATGATGATGATGATGATGAGGATGATGATGATAATGATGATGGTGATGCTGGTGATGGGAGGGAGGGGAGGAGGAGGAAGAGGAGGAGGAGGAGCAGGAGGAGGAGAACGAGGAGGAGAGGAGAGGAGAGGAAGGAGAGGAGAGGAGAGGAGAGGAGAGGAGAGGAGAGGAGAGGAGAGGAACGCGGGGCGCTGTCTTTTCAAAACGAAGACCCAACACCACAGGATGGTTGGGAAAAAACAATCTTCAGGTCGGCAGCGGCGGCGGTGAGCGTGCTGACCAATCTCTGGTGGTCCGGACATGGTGACGGTGCCATCATCGATATACGAGCCGAGCGACACCTTCGGGTTACAAGAGGAGGAGGAGGAAGAGGAGGAGGAGGTGGAGGAGGAGAGGAGGAGGTGGAGGAGGGGGAGGAGGAGGAGGAGGTGGAGGAGGAGGAGGGAGGAGGAGGAGGAGGAGGAGGAGGAGGAGGGGAGTCGGAAAGGAGGACGAGGGGGAGGGGAGGAGGAGGAGGAGGAGGGAGGAGGAGGAGGAGGAGGAGGAGGAGGAGGAGGAGGAGGAGGAGGGGAGCACAGCCACCGCGCTACCACACGGAGCGCCGCCCAAGGAGCGACGCGGGGCTTTCCTGGCCACGGCGGGCCTCGGCCGCGGCGAGGCCCCAGGGCCGGGGCCCGAGGAGCGGCCTGGGAGCCAGAGCCCCTCAGAGGCCCAAGGCCGTGCGTACTGCGGCGTCTTTCGGGGGCGCGCAGACTCCTCCTCTCTCCTCCTCCTCCTCCTCTCTCCTCCTCCTCTCCTCCTCTTCCTTCCTCCTCCTTCCTCTCCTTCCTCCCACCTCCTCCTCCTCCTCTCTCTCCTCCTCCTCCTCCTTCCTCTTACTCCTCTTCTCCTCCTCCTCCTCCTCTCCTCCTCCTCCTCCTCCTCCTCCTACTCGGATTAGCGACCCATGGATTTGGCGAGCGAAAATGCGGCTGGCGCCGCCTCGCTCGGTGGCGGAATTCCACGATTTCGAATGAAGACGGGACCCGTCGCTAATCCACGCCCCCCTAATCCATGTTTGCGATCGCCTGGGTCTTGCCTCTGCGGGAAGGGGACAAGACATCGAGGATATAGCCTCCCCCGATGTCCGGATCGAGGGTGCATATTCACCTGATGTTGAGCAGGGACCCGCCGTCCGGCATTCCTAGAAGCCTACCACGACATGTTTTTAGAACCCTCCAACGTGTTCGACTGACAGAAGCAGTGTTCTTACATTCTATAACCCAATATGTTAAAACAAAATTGCCTCAACCGGAAGTGTTCTAAGAACATGTCGTGTAGACCACAAGCGGTTCTTAGAACATTCTTTGGTGGGCGTATAGGCAAGACGAGACGATCCGCCACTGCTTGATGATGGGACAACACATGTTCAAAAAGGATGCGGTCGCTCTGGAGTTTGGCGCCCGACTTGGAGGTGGTCACCGTGTCGCGCCGAAGCGCGGCTGGCCGAAACGGGCGCAACGACACGCGAACTGCCCTTCCCGACCGTAGGCTCCCCCGACGCTGGAATCGAGGATGCCCCCCCCCCCCACCCACCGCCGATGGGACAGGAAACCGAAGATGTGCCACGCGGCTGGAACCGCGCGCGGCTGGCTCCGCACATGGAACCTCCGGGCTCCGCGCGCTGGTGCGCACGCGGAAGCCCGCCGTGCCTGGCCATGCACGGGCCCAGCGTTTGAGAGGCATCTGGCCACGTGTGCATCCAGCTCTCGCCCAGGCGTGGCCGCGCCACGGGGACGCATCTGGCTTCCTGGCAGGTTGCCCCGATGTCCGATGTCCAGCCTGAAGAGCCCTGAACTCCGCCATGCTCGCGTCTCGCTCTTACTTCTTACCGCCGGCGGGCCTGCACCCGTCTTATGTTCGCCCGCTTGCTTGGCTTGCTCACGCGAAAAATCATTCAGATGTCTTGCGGCGGGCCTTGTAACAAGAAACAACACATATCTCGGTGCGACACAAGTCTCAGGGTCCTCGAATTGAGCTGGTGCCTGAAAAAGGGCACGGGCGCAAGGGAACGGGAACTCCGCTCGCGCAGTCCTGCCTTCGAGCACCCCCTCCTGTGAGGGGAGGACACTACGAAAGCAGCGGCCGCGGAGCCCCTTAGCCCCACAACGGGCCCTACTCCCAAACAGTTGACCGAATCACCTTATATCGTTTTGAGGAGAGCCGTAAGTAGCAACAGTCCCGGTCTGAAATGGTGTGCACAGGGCAGCGTAGCAATCGTCGTGGCGGTGTCGGCCTCCTCCCTCCTACGTGGGGATATGAATACTTATCCTGGCTGTGGCGCGTCGCCGCTGACGTCTTGGCGCGGTCTAAACTGGCCCAACTGGAGGGAAGACTTCCGTTGGGGCTCTGGCGGCGATCGGGAGGCCATTGCTGCGACTGCTAGCGTTCGTGTTCATTGTTTCTTATTGCGCTTCGCCTTTATGCCGCCCCCCCCTTGAAGATAATCCTCTCGCGCTCCTTTGCGGTCTTGAACCTGGAGGCCGTGTCGTCTTCCGAGAGCGGGGGATTCTCAAGTGGCGGTCTGGGAGCCCCCAGTTTCTGGAATCACACTCTCGCCTCGGCGCCGCGCCCACTGTTTCAAAAACGGCATTTTCGCCTCGACGCCGTGCACAGTTCTGTGGGGCGGACTGGTAGATATTCGAGCCCCAGGAGTGGGGGGAGGGAAGGAGAGGGAGAGGTAGAGGGAGGAACCGTCCACGCCGCCTGTGGTGGCGCATGTGGGGGAATTGATGGCCGGGGTGGGGTGGGGTGGGGTGGGGGAAATCAGCAGTGTTTCCCCCCCCCCCCCCTCTCCACCCCCAGCATTCACACATGGTGCCCGACTGCCCCAGAGAAGGTCTCCTGTGGAGGGTTTCAACAGGAATCCTTCTGTGGAGGGTTTCAGTAGGAGTCCTTCTGTGGAGGATTCAACTGGAATGCAATGCCAATTCAATGCCAACGCAATGCCAGTGCCATGCCGGCGCTTTGCCTGCGCAAGGCCACCACAATGCCAAGGAACACCAATGCTATGTCAATTCTATGCTAGGTCCGTGCCACCGCATGCAAGCACAATGTCAGCACATGGCCAGTGCAATGCCAATTCGGATTCAATGCCAGTTCAATGCGAAAGCGATGAGTCGTTTCTCTTGTTGACTTCAACAGGAATCCTTCTGTGGACGGTTTGAATTAGAGTCCTTACGCAGAGGGTTTCAATGGGAATCATTATGTCGAGGATTTCAATAACAACCCTTCTTGTTTTGGATTTCAATCGGAATCCTTATGTATAGGATGTCAATGGAAATCTTTTCATGGATTTCAATGGAAATCCTTCTGTGAAGGATTTCAATAGGAACCCTTCTGCGGAGGATTCCAATCGGAATCGTTCTGCGGACGTTTCCAGAAGAATCCTCGCGCGGAGGATTTCGTAGGAGTCCTTCTGTGGAGGGCTTCAGCGAGAACCCTTCTTGAGTAGAATTTCAATAGGGATCCTTTTGTGGAGGATTTCAAGAAATATCCTTTTGTGGAGGGTTTCGGTGCGGATGTTCTGGTGTAGTGTCCATATGAGCGCAACGCCCAGACAACGCCAAGGCGCTGGCAGTGCTGTGCCAGCGCTTTGCCAGCGCAAGGCCCATCGCAACGCCAAGGGGACCAATGCTATGCTACCTTCCCGTGGAGGCTTTCATTAGGAATCATAAAGGGGATGGTTTTCAATCAAAATCTTTGTTTGTGGAGGGTTTCAATAGGAATGCGATGCTAATGAACGCAAGTGCTGCGCCAGCGCTTTGCCAGCGCAAGGCCGTGCAATGCCAAGGGGCACCAGTGAATCTTTGTTCCATATTTCAACAGAACTCCTTCTGTGGACGATTGATCTAGGAATCCTGCTTCTGGGGTTTCAGTATGGACCTTTGGTGGGTGAATTTAATGATATTCTTTCTATGCAAGGTTTCGAGGGGAATGCATGCTACCGCAATTCCTAGGCAATGCTGGTGCTGTGCCAGCGCTTTGCCAGCGCAAGGCCAATGCAATGCCAAGGGGCACCAATGAACCGTTGTATTTTCATATTTGAATCGAAACCCTTATGTGGATGATTGGACTAGGGATCCTGCTATATAGGTTCCAGTCGGAGTCTTTCTGTAAGCGAATTCATCAGGAATCCTTGTATGAAGGGCTTCAATAGAAATGCAGTGCCAAAACGGTTCCAAGGAAAGTCCTGTGCTATGCCAGCGCTCTGTCAGCGCAAGGGCAATGCAATGCCCAGGGACACCAATGTGTTTGTCAAGATATTGCAATCGTAATCCTTCTGTGGGGGGCTGAACCAGAAATCCTGCTATGGAGGAGTTCGGTTGGACCCTTCTGCGGTGGGGTTGAATAGGGAGAATAGGGATCCCTGGGTGATGTGTTTCAAGAGGGATGCAGTGCCAAGTCGATTCCTAGGCAATGTTTGTGCTGTGCCAGCGCCTTGCCGGCGCATGGCCAATGCAATGCCACAGGCCACCAATGAATATTTGTCCTTCTAGATTCCAGTCGAACCCCTTCTGTGGATGATTGACATATTATAGAGGGTTTCAGTAAGGGTCCTTCTGCGGAGAACTTCAAAATGCTTCCTTCTATGAAGGGTTTCAAGAGACATGCAGTGCCAAGCCGATTCCAAGGCAATGCCCGTGTTTTGAAAGCGCACTGTCAGCGCAAGGCCAATGCAATGCCAAGGGGCACCAATGAATCCTTTTTTCTATTTTGCAATAGTAATCCTTCTGTGGAGGACTTGGCTAGGAATCCTGCTATTGAGGATTTCTGTCGGAGCCTTCTGAAGAATTCAATCGGGATCCTTCTATGAAGGGCCCCGACAGTGATGCAATGCCACAACAATTCCACGGCAATGTTGTGCTATGCCAGCGCTTCGCCAGAGCAAGGCCAATGCAATGCCAAGGGGCGCCCACGAACCTTTTGAATTCTATATTTCCAGAGTAATCCTTCCGTGGGTGATGGAAGCAAAAATCCTGCAATGGAGGATTTAAGTATGAGCCTTCAGTGGAAGAGTTCAACAGGCCCCTCCTCTCCCTCGTCTCCCCTCCACCTCCCCTTTCTTGTCCTCCTCTTGTGGCGATTCCTGCACACGGGTACTCCTGTGTACCGAGTCCGTGCTACACGTATGTGCGTCGCTTCCGCAGTCAAGGGTTTTTGTTTCGGGCCCGGCAGGTTGCGTGAGTTTGCGTGCGTTCGCTTGCCAGAGATTAGGCCGCGCGCGGGGCGGAAGGGGGGGGGAGTGGGTGGGCGGGGGCGGGGGGTAGGAGCGGGGGGGGGGGGAGAATTTCGCGGGGGGGTGGGGGGTGGCCCTGGGGGGGGAGGGGGGAGAAAAAAAAAAAAACATAAATCGGGCTGACCCCCCTGCGCCCATTTCCTTTTTTTTTTTTGTTCCCCCCCCCCCCCCCCAAGGGCCACCGCGTGCTGCTCGGGGGGTGGGGGTGGGGGGTGGAGGTGGGTGGGGGGGAGGAGAGAGGGGAGGAGGAGGAGAGAGGGGAGGGGCTACCTCTCTCGCCTGTTTCTCCCTCGCTTCTCCTTCCTCTCTCTCTCTCTCTCTCTCTCTCTCGCATACCTCTCTCTCTCTCTCTCTCTCACCGCCTCCTCCCTATCTCTCACTCCCTCCTTCTCCCTCGCTCACTCTCGCGCCCCTCGGGGGTAAATCGTCGCGCGCGTCGGCCTCCAGACCGCCACTTGAGAATCCCCCGTTCTCCGTCTTCCAGAATCACGCTCGCTGACTTCATGCCGCCGCTGTCGTTCAAAATGTAAACGGCCTGCATTAGAGACGGGTGCGCAATAGCTGCGACTATCCACTTGGACTCCTCCGCGGTCTGGCCTGCGCGTCGAAGTATCTGGTGATTTTGAACTTCACGTCAGGGTTGCTCCTGTTCTTGCCGAGCCCCGCGCCTCCTCCAGGGCCCCGGTCGAGGCCGCAGGGCTCGGCCCCTGCGCGACTGCTGCCATCGCCACCTCGTACTTGGATTCAATTGCCTCGCTCAACCGGAAAAAGCAACATGCGCATGTGTGCGTCTGGCTTCTTGCCGCGGGGGTGACCTCGGCAGTCTTTTGGATCGACGACCACTTCGTGAACTTCCTTCCCCGCCTTCTGGCGCTGCTTGGTGATCGCGGCCAGTGCCGACTGCATCTGGGACCCCCCCTCGAGCTTCGCCGCCGCGTTCAGGCCGCGAGCCGAGTCGCGAAAATTGCCCTCGTTTTGAAGACGCAGCTGCGTGGTGACCTTGTCCGTCGTCGCGATGCCCCTCGGCCCGTCGCCCCCCCCCCCCCCCCCCTGCGCTCGCCATGCCTCGCGGCCCCGACCCCGTGCCTCGCCCGCGCCCCGCTTCGCGATGGCTTCGGCCGCCAGCGCGAACATCGGCGCGAGGCCGGGGCGGAGGCTGCGCCTCGGGGCGGCCGGAGTGCGCCCCTGGAACCCGAGCGGCGCGCGGCGTGGGGGGCCGCGGGCAACGCCCCCAATGGGCGCGACGTGCCGGTCTGTCCAGGCGGGCGAAGGTGAACGGGCAGCTGGGGGCGGCACAGGGCTTCCAAGACCCTCGCGTGGATGTTCGTGCGATTGGGTGTGATAGAATAAACTGAAAACCTGCGGTTCCCTAAACCCTTCTGGCCGCTGCATATTTCCGCGCTCTGGGCGCGCGGGGCGGCCTCCGGCGGCGTCGGCCTCTGCTTCTCGGAGCTGGTCGCTCTCAGCTTCGCGCGAGTGCGGCCTTCAGCCCTGCGCGTGAGTCGCGGGAGCGAGCAAAACAAGTCATGCCAGTGCCTGCAAATACCCGGCGTCTCGGTCGGCGTCTCTGGATTGTCTTCGACGGGCAAGCGAGGCCCCCGATCTCGCGCGTCAGCGAGCAACTGTCCACGGCGAGCGCTACGATTGCGACGTCGCGGGTCCTCGACGCAAAGTTGACCGACAACATCTGCTAGAACTGCTCGCGACAGGTCATGCTCGATGGGGGTCAGGGCGCAGTCCAGGGGGCCCGCATGGCGCCGCCATAACAGCCAACGGCGCGGTGAATTAGAACCCGCACTAAAGACCTGGGTGCGACTGCGAACTTCTGCATGTGGGACATGGCGCGGATGGGCAGGGTGCCGAAGAATATGCCGAAACTCTGGGGACTGCCATCTCTCCAGCTTCTTCGAATCCGTCTCCGTTAACACATGGCCACTCCTAGCGCGCATCGGGAAAGTGGGCGGGTGATGGGGATTCCAGAGACGAACCTCGAGGCGCATGCATGGGTTGCCTGTCGCGGCTTTTTTGGGAGAGCCAGCCGCGCGCCTGGCTAGCCGCGGCAGCGCGGGCATTGACCTTGGCGGCGCGCGAGCCCGTGGCCGAGCACGCGCGGCCGAGATGCCTGACGTTCGGCGTTCGGCGGGCTGCGCGAGCTGCGCTATCTGCGCGGCTCCATGCTTGTACCAATTTGCTCTGCGGTGCTTCGCCGCCGATGTCTCCGACGCTCATTCCCCGCGGCGTTCGGCGTGAACTCCGTTTTCGGAGCGTTCGCGGTTGAGCCGTTTGCGCAAAGTTGGGCCCGCAAGGACTCCCGCGCGGGGGGGGCCGTCGCTCGGTCGCCGACGACGGCCAGGACGATGCGTTCATCGACGAGATTGAGCTGGGACGCATCTAGCACTCTTCCCTTCGATTCTCGCGAACTCTTCCGAAATCCTGAAAACCTGCATCTGGGGGTCGCATTTTGCCGAGGCGCCCGGTCGCCGCCCCTCCGCCGCCTTCGCCCCCGCGCCCGTCGCGATCAGGCCCGTGGATTGCCGCGAATAAGCCCGGGCCCTCCGCGCTGCCCTGCCAGGCCCGCATCCCCGATGAATAGCTGCCTGCGCGGTCGGTTTTGCCCTGTCATCGCGCGGCGCGCGGCAAGTGCCATTGAGAGCTCAAGTTTTCTATTGCAACGCGCGTCTCGCATGGAAGTGCTAACTCGCCCAGAGCAGCCCGCGCCGTGCTTCGGCCCGGCGGACTAGGGGCCCTCTCCCGGTCGAGCACAGCTGCAGCCCAGATTTTGCATTGGTAGACTTGGCGCGCTGGGGTTTCTCGCGGAATGGTCGCCCAGATCTCGCCAGCGCAAGCCGGCGCGGCGAGATGAGATCTACCTTGGGGAGCTCCGAACTGCGCCGCGGAGAGTCGGCCCGCCGCCGCGCGCAACTCCGGCACGATGGCGACGTTCGAAAAGGCCCCCCCCGCGTGCCCGACGAGGTTGGTTGTCCGACAATGATCCTCCGCATTCGGCCCGCCCCCCGTCGGCTCGCGCGGGGGGGCCGCCCTCCCGCTCGAGAACCTCTGGGGGGGGGGGGGGGGCGCCGAAGAGCTCGAGCGGCTTGAGAAAGACTCAAGAGGCCACCCGGCCAGATTGACGCCCGACATCCAAAGCTCAGCCGCTGCACCTTCAGGGCCCCGTCGGGGTCCGTCACGGTGGCAGGGTGTGTCCATTCAATTACCCACGCGCTCTTGCAACTGGAGAGCTTGCTGATGGCCATTTTTACGTCATCGACGCCGCGTTTTCCAATGTGCTCCTCCTGGAGATCCTCCGAAATGCTCCGGGGGCCTCCGTCCACGCGCGCGGGCGCCTCGGTGGCTTCGAACAGCGGGGCCTCCGTCCGCGCGGGCGCCCTTAGGCGGGCGTCTGACGACCGCGATGGCAGTGGAACGGGGGGGCGCGTGGCTGGCAGCACGACCAATCATTGCAACTGTATGGGGTAAAAGGTCTTCCCTAAGGTGGCGGCTGATCGTCGCGAGTACATCGAACATAAGCGGATGACCACGGCCTCCGTCGTCACGTGTCTGTGACGGAGGAACCGCAGCTCCCGGGCCCCTGCTGCAGCTCCTGCTCAAGCTCCCTCCCCTCCAGCTCCCGCTCAGGCCAAAGTACGGTCGGGGAGCATGGGCCGCGGCGGCCGCCACCGCAGCGGCGGCAGCGCCGGCGGCCGAGGCAGCGGCGGCGGCGGCGGCGGCGCGAGCGGCCGCTGGCCCCAGTGCGGCAGCCCGAGCCGCGGCGGCCGCGGCGCCGGCGGCACCCCTGGCACCAACGGCGCCAGCGGCGCCAGCGACGCGAGCCGCCGGCGTCGCGCCGCGGCAAACACCATCGGCGCCGGGCGGGCCCGCGTCTGGCCGGGGGCGTGCTCGCCCCCAGGAGACGGCTAGAGTCAGAAGGGGACGGACGCTGGTGGGGATACTTTCTCCGTCGCGGCCGCAAGCGGAAGCGCAGGCGGCGTCCGAAACCAGCCCGGGCTACAAGCCAAACCTAATTACCTAAGCGCGCGAACTAACGGCCGCCGAAACTGCCGCCGAGGGACGCCGAGGAGCGACGCCGGGGACTGAAGGCAGACCTGCAAGAGGTGCCAGGTGCTCCAGGCGGCGCGTCAACAATTTGACGCAAGCTTCTGCTGCAGACATCCCGCGAAAACTGGACTGTCAAATCCAAGACGTGCTTGTCAAAAAGCGTCGGCTAACCCGAATTCCGGCTTACTCGACTCTTACGTTTCCCCGAACCAGGCTGCTCCTGTGAATTGTGCCCCGCGGTTGCGGTCAAGATTGGCTTGCGCTGGCGACTTGTCCCTCCCCGTCCCCTATCCACCTATCCAATCGTAGAGGCCTCCTAGATGGGGTCGGTGGATCGCGCCGCATCGACAATGCATCGCCGATGTATCGGCGATGCACTGCCGACGTCGGTGACACATCGGCGCTGTCGGCTCAACATCGAGCCGCATCGCCGACCCCATCTACTCGGACTCCGTCTGGGAGGCATAGTGTCCCAGACCCTCATTGTCTTGATTTTGTCATAACGTCGACCTCCAGAGGTCTTGACCCATTCCCCGGGAGCGGTGTTTCATGCTGAGTCCTTATCTGACGGTCCCGAGGCCCAGTCAGGACCCCCCCAGAAGCATTCAGATAGGAAGACTCCTTGCGTCTTGATTGTTCAATGGCTCGAGGGGGTCTCTGACCTGCCGGCGCACGCGACCCGAAACTCGCAGAGAGTGCCCAGCAGAGGCCGAACGCCGAAGCCGCCCCGGCAGATCACGGGCGGGCCGTGCGCCTGCAACTCGCGGCTGGCGCGAGCTGGCACGGCGCCCTGCGGCTGCCTCCCACGGCCAGCGCCGCGCCGGCAAGAGGAGGGGTGGGGAGGAGGGGGATGGCAACGAGGGCAGGAGGAGGAGGAGGGGAGGAGGAGGAGGAGGAGGAGGAGAAAGAGGAGGAGGAGGAGGAGGAGGAGGAGGAAGAGGAGGAGCAGGAACATGCGAGGACGATAACTGTGTACCTACGCCGATCCTGGCAAGGCCCATCCTGGACCCATGAACGGCGTGCACGCTCTCCTGGCTTGGGCGGGAAAGCATACAAACCGATCTTGGGCTTGGGATCGGCCTGGCCAGGATCGTTGTAGGTGTATAGGTGGCGCCCTCTGATCAACCTCGCCATAAACTTACAAGGGTGCCCAAAGACCCCCTCGGGTCGTGAACAAAAACACGACGGTCCATTTTGTTGCCCTTCTCTGCCTCGGATCAATGCGAAGGATCCTGCACCCAGCCCAGGTCAACACGGCTGCAAGATCCTGCACCAAAGCCCGGGTGAATGCGAAGGATCCTGCAAGATCCTGCAGGATCCTGCACCCAAGCCCGGGTCAATGCGACCCTGCCCCTGCAAGATCCTTAGGGCGCTCTGGCTGACCCCCGTTTGCATTTACCCCGTCTCAAGGCTCCAGCACTCAGGATGAAAAGCCGGCCCCGGGGAAAAGGTCGGGACTTCCAGGGGGGGCGCATTGAGCAAATCAAGACATGGGATCTCTGGGTAGGGGGAGGAAGAAAGATCACCAAGCTCGCCAGAAGCTAAAGGGTACCCGGGCACATGTCTTGGGATTGGGTGGTCATCAGAAATGCTGGATGCGCAATTGGGTAGCTCATTCACCACTTTGCCGCGAAACGCTGTGACTCGTGTCCAGCAATAACTTCCGCAAGAGCAGGCTGCATCCCCGAAGCGCGGGGAAGGGGGGAGGAGGGAGGAGGAGAAGGAGAAGTGACCAGAGCAAATCCAATATGGATTAACGATGTTGCAATACACCCTGCCGTCCCAAATCCCCTCCCCAAACGCCACTACAAGTGCTCTTTTCACTGCAGGAAGCTCCCCCCTTGAAAGATCAGTACAATTTGGCCTGCCATGTTGGTGAGGATCCCGCTTTGAAAAGAAGTTGCCTTGCATCTTACAGGCGCGCACTCAGGAACGCGAAGGACACTGATCGTGTACTGGAGCGAGCTGTCCAACAAAGCAAGGAAGGGCGTCCTGAAATCCGACGACGCGACAAACATGCAACATCGTGAAAAATTGAGACCGCAGCGCTAAACCCAACCTTGCTGCGGCACGTCTGGAGCCAAATTGGATCTGCGGGGCCGCAGGCCCGATTCTTGGCGAAGACGCCCAGTATGAAATCAAGTCAGCGCCATTTCAAGGGGGGGTGAGGAGAGGAATATGAGTAGGAGTAGGAGTAGGAGGAGGAGGAGGCGGATGCAGAGGAGGAGGAGGAGAAGTTGGAGGAGGAGGGGGAAGAGGAGGGGGAGTACAACTAGTAACTGGCTACATGTGCATACATCTTTCGCCCAGGCCGGCCGCATCCTGTGCATCATGCTCCATGGTATATACCACGAGCCGAACTAAAGATGGAAGGCCAAGCAACCGATGTCAACCAACCGTGCGCAGTGCCACTCGTTGACAGAACAAGGGCATGCAAGCACGGGCAGGCAAGCGGCAGCTGGCAAGCGAAGGCCAGACCGGGCTATCAGACGATACGCTGCACGCCTTTCCACCGGGCACTTTCATGTCGCGCTACGAGCCGCCAGCCGGGGGCACCCCACAGGAAACGCCTGCAGGCACAGCGTATGACAACCACTCATACCAATTGATACATCAGAGGAACATACACAATAGCAATCATGTTATCATTGCTAAGGCGCTACAAGCCAACTGATATCGATCGGGAAATCCCACCAGCCCTTCAGGGCGTGAGTGGTTTAGCGAGCCCCCTCTGTCCTCAACCCCCCTTCTTCCCCTTCGGGGAGGGGTTTACCCCTCCCCCTACCCCCTCCCCCTGGGCCTGGACAGGGAGTCCCGAGTGTTCTCAGGGGGGCCTTTTTCGACTCCTGGGAGGGCCAAAAAACGACGACCCTCACGAGGATTCTGGCCCCGACGGGGGGATTGAGAAAAACCCTCTCCTCTTCTGTGAAGCCAAAATCCTTGCTTTTACGAGGGTTTTGGCCCCATTTTGGCCTTCTGAGGGGGCAGCGCTCCTCTTCCTTGATAGCAAAATCATTGATTTTACGAAGGTTTTGGGCTCATTTTGTCCTTCTCAGGGGGCAGCGCTTCTTTGCGCTTCTGAGGAGGTCGCAACAGGCCCCACGATGGCCCCAAGAGGCCCCCAGGAGCCTCCCAAGAGGCCTCCAAGAGGCCCCCAAGAGGCCCCCAAGAGGCCCCAAGAGGCCCCCAAGAGGCCCCCAAGAGGCCCCCAAGAGGCCCCCAGAGGCCCCAGGAGGCCCCCAAGAGGCCCCCAAGAGGCCCCCAAGAGGCCCCCAAGAGGCCCCAAGAGGCTCCAAGAGGCCCCCAAGAGGCCCCACGAGGAGCCCGAACGACTCACACCAGGACGAGGGGCCCGAACGACTCACACCACGAAGAGCCCGAACGACTCACACCACAAGGAGGGGCCCGAACGACTCACACCAGGACGAGGCGCCGGAACGACTCACACCACGAGGAGCCCGAACGACTCACACCACGACGCGGGCTCCGAACGACTCACACCACGAGGAGCCCGAACGAGTCACACCAGGAGGAGGGGCCCGAACGACTCACACCAGGATGAGGGGCCCGAACAACTCACACCACGAGAAGCCCGAACGACTCACACCAGGACGAAGAGCCCGAACGACTCACACCACGAAGAGCCCGAACGACTCACACCAGGAAGAAGGGCCCGAACGACTCACACCAGGACGAGAAACCCCAAACGACTCAAATCACGAGGAGCGCTTTCTCTCCCTCCTCCTCCGCCTCGTCCTTGTCCCGCTCCCCCCACAAGGAGGATGTACAAGGAGGCGGGAGGAAGGAGGAACAGGGGAGATATGCGGGGCCAAACGGACACACGCCTGAAAAACACGACTGTCGGCATGCTTCGCATGAGTTGCTGTTGTGAGATGGGCTGGTGGGGATACGCGAAGCGTAAAGAATTCGAGCTAATTAAGACGGCAATCGCTTATGCAAGCAATGACCATGGCAAGCAACCAAACAAAAGAGAAGCGATCGACAAGACAAGCGATAAACAAACAGGCTTGCAAGCCAGCCGACAAGAGATCCAACGATCATGCAACCAGTCGGTCAACAGAGCGAGCGAGCATTCAAGCAAGCGTGAGAGGAACATACATCTGATGAGACCTTTGATCCCCAGACCTCTCGTAGGGAGAATGCTGACCAAGATTCCGAGGCGAACCTAGCCGCGGCGACGAGCGCCTCCCTGGAGGCCTGAGGTAGCGAACAAAAGGAAGGATATCGGTGTCGGAAGGTTTATCTAACAAGAAAGCATGCTCGCAAGGGAACAACAATTGCGCAATCACATAGCAGCTGTCGGCACCAGTAACTGCCGATAGAGCGGCGATAGGCCCCCGATAACGAAACCGCATGTTCCCGGGCGGGGTGGGCTATCAGGCCCCCGTCGGCGATCAATGGGCGCTGGTTCCTCCCCTGAGCCAATCCCCCCCTGTTGCTGTCTTGACAGGCCCGAGAGATATACTGAAAATACGCGTGCGAAACCAACAGCCACCGCTGCTTGACCGGCGCTTCTCTGTCTCAAAGATGGGCGGAATGGCTGTCGGCCTTCGCCCCCACGCTGGTTCCGTACCCGCTCTCAGACCCCCGACGCCATGATTTGTTCATGACGTCGACCCCCAGAGGGCTCGACCCAAGTCCCCGGGAACGGCTCTTCCTTCTGCGCCGTTGATTGACGGACCCGGAGCCCCATAAAGGGCGCCCAGAGGCCGAACACATGGACAAACCTCCTGTCGTGACTCTCTCATGACTCGAGGGGTCTGGGTTTCGAGCCTGCAAGCTG